AGCTCACCACAACCTCCGCCTTTTGGGTTTTAACTATTCTCCTGTCTCAGCCTCCCGAGTAGCTGGGGTTACAGGCATGTACTACCATGCCTGGCTAATTTTGTATTTTTAGTAGAGACGGGGTTTCTCCATTTTGGTCAGACTGGTCTTGAACTCCTGACCTCAGGTGATCCACCCGCCTCGCCCTCCCAAAGTGCTGGGATTACAGGCGTGAGCCACCACGCCCAGCCTGAGACTCCATCCAAAAAAGAAAAAAAAAAGAAAAAGTGTATTGGATTACTCCCTCAGATGCTATTTGTGATACAAATAATCTGGGTATGAGCGGCTGAGTATGGGGTGGAGAGACCAGCAACAACTATGAACGTCTGTGAGTACCTTTTAAACACAGCTCTGGCCTTTCTGTAGCCACCACTTCGATAAGCCCAATCCAGGTACTTATTCTTCAGGGTTACTGAGTCGGCACCTATAACAGCTAAGAGAGCTTTCTACAATTTAAAAGAAAAAAGAAGCTATGTGAGAAAACTTACAGGTATCAAAATAGATTTTCCCAGAACCACCTGAGGCCACTCCATAGTGCTTTAGGCGCACCTGCAACACTAGAGCTGGCCAACCAGGGAACCTTCTGCCATTCCCCACACCACGAGACTTGGAACACGGTGCCTATACCTTAAAGACTGCCTCAGTGTCTTCTTGGCTTTTGGCACCTTCACTCCACTCTGCCCAGGAAATCCACAACGGCAGACAAACCTACTCCCAGTTTAAAAAATGTTAGAAAATAGCATATAACAAAACATCGCATGTACCCTATAAATATGTAAAATATTATGTATCAATTTTTTTAAAGTTATAAAATGACAGTTTAGTCCTATGCTCTGAAAACTAGTTAAAAAGGCAGGTTCCTCCTAAGATAATCGACATGTAAAATAGGGATTCATTCCCAAACAGTTCTCATTGTGACAGAATTCTCATTGCCCAGCAGGAATGGCATGCCAGAACACAGTCAGCCTTCTGACTAAGTCACTCAGAGCAACGCTCTTCTGTGAATTTTAGTTCCTTTCTATTGGGAAATATTTCATGTAGTTATCATCAATCATCTTTTAGTTAAGTAAGCAATTAACAGCCCACATAGTTAGATCCACAGCTACCCAGGTCATGTCTCTGCTGTCTAAGATCCACAAGAACTAATTAACCTAGGCTGAACTATCTGATCTTCATTCATGTCCCAGAGATACATACAAGTGAGCAGCAAAGGTTAGGCATGGTGGCACATTTGTAATCCCAGAACTTTGAAGACGGAGGTTAGGCATGGTGGCGCACGTTTGTAATCCCAGAACTTTGAACACTTGAGGCCAGGAGTTCAAGATCAGCCTGGCCAACATGGCAAAACCCTGTCTCTACTAAAAATACAAAAATTAGCTGAGCATGGTGGCAGGCGCTTCTACTACTTGGGAGGCTGAGGCAAGAGAATCGCTTGAACCTAGGAGGCGGAGGTTGCAGTGAGCCAAGATTGCACCAATGCACTCCAGCCTGGGCAAGAGAACAAGACTTCATCTCAAAAAAAAAAAGGAAAAAGAAAACACCACCAAGTGAGCAGTAGTTTTTTTCCTACTTTATCTTCTGGAATACATTTTTCCTACTAATACAAAAAATTCACTGCAAAGTGAATCTGGCCATACACCATGGCTCACACCTATAATCTCAGCACTTTGGGAGGCCCAGGAGGGCAGATCACTTGAGGGTAGGAGTTCCAGACCAGCCTGGCCAACATGGAGAAATTCTCTCTACTAAAATAGAAAATATTAGCCGGGTGTGATGGCACGCACCTGTAGTCCCAGCTACTTGGGAGGCTGAGGCAGGAGAATTGCTTGAACCC